CAGAGGTTTTATGGACTGGACACTATACACAACGTCCACTACTTCTGATACAGGATGATGCGTCTTCACATAAAAGTGTCGAATAAATCAGATCAGCGATTGCAAATGACGTTGTATTGTTATGTCTCACGCCCAAGACCACTCACATTGAAAATTGAAACTGCTTGAGTAGTAAGTCAAGCAAAGATGGTTGAGTCAGACCTTTGAATTTCCAAAAACAAAGTCAGTGCTATGTTTAAAGTAATATTCGAAAAACGTATTACAGAAGGTTTCAGAAAAGGTGGTATCTTTCCGTACGTCCTTATTCCATCCACAAATGTCTGCTTTTGCGATCAAATGCTGATATCGATTCGAGCTCTTCTGATCACTCTGTGAAGTCAGTTAAGCCTGTTGCAATAGAAGCCTCTTGTGGTTCTACTACTCATCAGGTAGCCTCGGATATCAACCTAAGTGACGATTTAGTACTTGACAGCTCATTCTCTTGGTTACATAGCTTTTGAGCTACGCACGACACCAATTGAAAATTGACTTTGTCCTTCAAGGTCAAATTACCTTGTCCTTCAATGTCAAATGTCAAAAGTTTGCTTGATATTTGCCAAAAGTGGATATAACTTACTATTTTTGAATGGCTTGTCTTCCAACTTCAAATAAGTAACAGTCTTAGGATAAACCTATAATTGGACCGACCTTCACCTTCACCTTGGTAAAATTATCGAATTTTCACTGATTTTTGCTAAAATTGACTATAAGTTGGTAGTTGATAAATGACTCATCTTCATGCTTGGATAAAACAACCTTTTGGACAAGACCTTCTATAAGAGTGAACTGACCTTGAGCTTTAAATGACTTTGACCGTCAATGTCAAATTATTGAATTTTTTTTATTTATGCATGGATATGACTAATATTTGGACAGACAAAACTTGCAACCAACAAACATATTGACATTGATCTTTAATTAATCTTCAACGTGTGTCTGTGTTATAGAGATTATATGGTGAACTTAAAAATCTTCTTGTTAAAAACCACTAGTCCCTTGCCAAGATTGTTCCTTGGGTGAATGTCTTTTAAAGTTGTGGGAAGAATTTGATTCCAGATAAAAACCATATTGCCATTAAAAAAGTTTCTTGTCAAGAACCACAAGGCATAACGCTTAGATATTTTGCATAAGACATTATTTGGTGGACCTCTACCAAGATTTTTCAAATTGTAGGCCTGAGGTCACAATTGGCCCTGCCCGAGGTTAATGTGTTTTCCACCTGTATATATTAATGTAAAAATGTTAAAAATATTTTTTTTAACTTAAAAGAGCGAGAGCTCAGATATGTAGCATAAAACATTGTCTAGTGAACCTCTATAAAGATCTCTCAAATTACAGCTTTGGTGTCAAAGTTGGCCCTGCCTGAGAGGTCATGGCTTTTCTGCAAATCATATTTAAGTAATGAAAGGGAAACAACATGCATTGGAATGTTTTTGTTCATGCGTAAATGTTATATAATTTTGCTAAATAAGATTCAATTGCTGGGAGTTAGTCTAAAGGCCATGACCTTTGGTGAAAGAGATGTTTTACTTTGCAGGGATATTTATGCACATCAGAAGGGCATGATGATACACACTATGTATATAATGATGGTTGTAATTTGTTTATGTTTTTATGGTTTTCAGAAAAATATATATAAATGCTTAATTGAAAAGATAGTATCTAAGAAAAATAACTGTTACTGTTAATACATTTTTCTAAGTTCAATAGTATGGAAACAAAAAAGATCTACATCTGGTCCTACTAATTTTTCGTGTTGCATTAATGCAGTGGCATAGCATTTTCATTTTTTCACTTGTTCTCAAAGTTTTTTTCATTTTTCGCCTTGTTCCGTCTGTCCGTCCGTCATTTTGTCATACGAATGCATGTCCCGCATTCCTGTCCGGCCCATTACTTTGTTATTGAAAGGACGTGTCGCGCGCAACATTTGGGGCGCTACCTTGAAGGTCAAGGTCACAGCATGACCTTGAAGCAAAATCGTGTCAGGCCCATAACTTCGTTATTTGAAGTCAGAATTTACAACTATTTCACAGAAATGATCACCATATTGAGGCAACGTGTCACACGCAACATTTGGGCCGCTACATTGAAGGTCAAGGTCACAGCTTGACCTTGAAGCAAAATCGTGTCCGGCCCATAATTTCGCTATTTGAAGTCGGATTTTACAACTATTTCACAGAAATGATCACCATATTAGAACGACGTGTCGCGTGCAACATTTTGGTTGCTATCTTGAAAGTCAAGGTCACAGCATGACTTGAAGCAAAATCGCATCCGGCCCATAACTTCGTTATTTGAAGTTGTATTTTACAACTATTTCATAGAAATGATCAACATATTGAGAGCAACATTTGGATCGCTACCTTGAAGGTCAAGTTCACAGCATGACCTTGCAGCAAAATCGTGTCAAGCCCATAACTTCGTTATTTGAAGTCGGATTTTACAACTATTTCACAGAAATGATCACCATATTAAGATGACGTGTAAGGCTTAACATTTGGGTCGCTACCTTGAAGGTTTAGGTCACAGCATGACTATGGCAAAAACGTGTCCGGCCCATACCTTCGTTATTTGAAGTCGGATATTACAACTAGAAATGATCACCATATTGAGATGACGTGTCGCACGCAACATTTGGGTCGCTACTTTGAAGGTCAAGGTCACAGTATGACCTTGCATCAAAATCGTGTCCGGCCTTTAACTTCGTAATTTGAAGTTGGATTTTACAACTATTTCACAAAAATAAGTTTCACGCACAAGTCAGTAGAAAGATCTTATTGAGTAGAAGTGCAGTGCAAAGAACAGTAACTCTGCCTTGTCTTAGTTATGGATTAACACACTTTGAACTTTGTCCGGGACATAACTGAAACTACAAAAGATATACTTTTCTGTGTCCAAAACCTAGTCGGGGAGCATCACCCGGTTTAACCGGCTCTTCTTTTACTCATCTAGTATGCTGGATTAAAATGATTAATTACTGGACAGGTATAAATAAGTACTGTAACTTGTAGATGGAACTGGCATTAACATAAATTATAATATTTCAAGTTTGAGACATTGCTTAACATTGGATTATCGTGACGTTTATATAGTTTTACATGTACGGCTGATGTCGATTCATGAAGCTATCTTCCTTTTTTCTTTAAAAAAAAGTCATACAATGTACGTGTTTGCATCAGAAACCTACAAACGTTACATGTGTATTTTTTAGCAATTTATAGTGTTATTCCTCAAATACTGAAGAGCACAATGCGTTTGATAAAAAAAATTACTGCTTAATGTATCCATCTTGTAGATAAAATTTGTTTGACAAATTTGAAATATTTGTCTTAAGTTACAACATAAATGCACTATTTCCAGCCAATTAAAACTGTTCTTGGCATAGATTCCCTATTCAACCATGAAAGGGACATTTTCTCTTACCTACCCTAAATGCAGCTGAATATACATTGTATGACAGGGAGTATACATTTAATTTTTGTTGTGGGGGACCTTTTACTACTTGCATTATAGTATATAATGAAGCTCCTTTTGCTTCTGATTTCTTTTTCACTGTCTGTTCTTTTTTTTAAATAATACTGTAACAAAAATTGTTTCAATTGTTTAATTTATTTATCTAAGCAAATTATACATTATGTATATCTCAATTTACAATGCTCACAACAATACAAGAAAAACTTGATTAAAGAAAAAATTTTTACTCACTCATGCCTTATGAATTAGAGGACAAAGGAACTGAATAGCATTATAAAATAACTCTAAGCAAATTAAAATTATTCAAAGATTTTCTGTTTTATACATTCAGATAGAATTTTTATATGCCCGAAAGAATTTCTATACCCCCTGACGTCCGTCCGTTAGCCAATTGGTTTCCGGAGCATTACTTAAGTTTCAATTGGCCCACAGTTTAAACTTCATAAGATGATTGACCATATTAGGAAGAAGACCCCTATTGATTTTGGGGTCAAAGGTCAAGGTCACTATTCCCTTAAAACTGAAAACAGTTTCCAGAGCTGAAGTTAATTTCGGCCCTAAGTGTTTAAACTTCATAGGATGATTGTCCATATTGGGTAAAAGACCCCTATTGATTTTGGGGCCACAATGTCAAAGGTCACGGTCACTATTACCTTAAAACTGAAAACAGTTTCCGGAGCATAACTTAAGTTCCATTTGGCCCACAGTGTTCAAACTTCATAGGCTGATTGTCCATATTGGGTAAAAGAACCCTATTGATTTTGGGGCCACAAGGTCAAAGGTCTAGGCCACTATTATTTTAAAACTGAAAACAGTTTCCGAACAATAACTTAAGTTCAACTTGGTCCACAGTGTTCAAATTTCATAAAATTATTGTTTATATTGATTAGAAGACCTCTAATGATTTTTGGGTCACAGTGTCAAATGGCAAGGTCACTATAACCTGAAAACTGAAAACAGATTCCTGAGCATAACATAAGTTCCATTTGGCCCACAATATTCAAACTTCATAGGAGGATTGCTATTTGAAGGAGGAAATACTTTATTTAATTCCCAGGTCTTATAAAAGCTTCATCCTTACTAAAAAACACATTCGGGCTTAAAATGCTCCGCCTAGCGGTTCTTTTGTTGTTCTTAAAATATATTAAGAAATATTGTTAGTTTGAAAATATTATATATTTATAAATAATCTTTTACAAAACGGTATATATAAATGATTAAAAGAAAGCATGTATGTACAACAAACAATATGAAAAGAAAACATGTATAAAATCATTGTAACTGTTACAATTGCAAAATACCACGGGAACATCTTTATAGTCAAACGCTTAAAGTTTGCTTTATCTCTTTCATATATGGAATTATGGATCAGATAGAAGAAAGTGATGTTAAGCATGAATGTTTCATGAATGTTGCTGTCCTAATCTGGCTTGTATATACCACTTATTTCTGTTACTGTCTTTGTCATTTCCACATTTCTGTACCTTTTATGTCCCTGAATTTATCAGAACAGAAATTAGTGTGGCGATATGAATCTTTGCAACATTGTTTCTCCCTCTTACATGAAGTGACATCGAGTAACACTGTAAAGCATCTCCAGCTCTACCTTCTTGTTCCATGCACTTTCCAAGAATATTTAGAGCTGTTTCCCGATGTCCAAGGTTTGGTTCCTCTTTTATGGTTCTTACAAGTTTGAAAAGAGCGGCTTGTTTTTCGTCATGTCTCCCTAGATCGCTGTTAATCTTGTATTGTAAAAAGTAGAGATACGGGAGAGAATCCACCACAGCATAATCCATCCATTCATCGTCCTTTATTGAACGAAACACTCTGTCCTCTTGTGTAGATCTGAACATTTCATATCTGAGTTCATTTGGCACACAGTGAATTTCACATGGCAGAAATCTTACACATAATGCTGTTATATACTGTAAGACTTCTTCATTATGATTTTCACATAAAACTTTGAATCCTTGTTTTAATGTTTTCCTTTCAAATACATTACAATTACAGCCAGGCTCAACAATTTGTAGATCATATCTTCTTTCAATCTCACTGAGTACTACGTTAGCTTTTTGTATTTCTTGCACACAGTATAAGATTGAAGCTAGTTTCAGTTTACTTGATGCAACATCTGTATTCAGACCAAGTGAGATGATCTCGAGCGTATCTGCTGATACAGTGTTGTACTGATTTATATTGATTGAGGCCAGTACAGATCCAAGTATTGTACAATACAATGATGTAACAATATGACTGGCTGTCTTATACAATCCTTCATATTGGCAATTGAATAGCTTTGATAAATTGCTTTTTAATATTTCTACAGCTTCATTAGGACTTCTGTCCTGAAGATGATAATAAGTATTTAACAGTTTCCCAGATATTCCTACAGTGATATTTTGTAATAGTTGTCCTGAAATAATGTGACTTGACTTGATTGGACATCTGTTATAAAACTTGAGTTGAAGCCTTGAACCAAGATTATCACATTTAATCCCAAGTAGTGTCACTCCTTCACTGTTGATTATATTTTTGAGTATTTCCAGGATATACGGTTTGATTTCAGATGAAATCTTACCTCTCATTAAATTGTTCCCAGGTATGATAAAATGTGGACAATTCTCATTAATGATATTGTTGTACAGGAGATAAAAACACAGTGAAAGACAAGAAAGTAAGTTATATTCTCTCCAGATGTTAGGATGTGTATTGGCGATACAGTGGAAGAGTACAGTTTTACACATAAAACTTGAAATAACATCTTTAAACAGTGGATTGATAAATGTTTTTATAAGCATTTTCATCAAGACATAACAGCGAATCTGTGTAATGTTTAAGTTAAACATTAACAGCCTTTCAGATAAAGATGTTGATATTCTCCATTCAAGTTGCTCATATTCACTGCCCCTACATCCAACAGGAACAACAAAGCACCCAGTTCTGCTGCAAAGTTGTTTTATTTCAGTAGATGGCCATCGACCACCGCATTGTTGATCCAACCATTGTCTAGCTTGTTGTGACCATGTTTTACAATGTAGAGCTAAAACAATATCTTTATCACAGTGGCCTGGTCCATATTGTTGCACACCTGCTGGTCCATGCATTTCTATACCTAATCTTGCATATATAGATAGTACAGGATTCTTATAAAGTAATTTTTCTGTTCTGCCTTGAAAAAGTTTCCAAAAGATTCACCGTCAAGAGGAAGAGGAGCATCACGTCTCAGCGCCTGAAGTAAACAATATCCTGGAGATACAGAATTATTTTGAATCATCAATAGATTTACTGCACCAGGTACCCACTCTCTCCAGTCTTGTATCACAAAAAAGGTAATCTAAGTCTGAGTTCATTCCTATTGTTGTTGTACCTTCTGACTGACTCCCAAAATTGAATGTAAAACCATCTGCCGGCGAATATATATTCTTTATTGATTCATTCAGAAGCAATGTTCTTCTCCTCTTCAGCACTATCCTCTCATCAACACCTATATCAGACAGAACCTCTGATAATCGCAATGACACAGTCTGAGTGTAATTTGGGACCTGATACATTCTGAAATATATAAGTTTTAAACATATCAGATTATGAATTTTTATGGAATATTGATGAATTTTCGTTTTTAAGATACTAACAATCAGATGACGATTGTTTATTGTTAAATCGACAAAACAACTCTTGCTTTCTAACTATACAATTTATAGTAGCTTTAATAAACACTATGAAATAAAAAAAGAAACTAATCTGATACAAAAATTTAAATAACTTTTAATAAACACTAGAAAAAGGTAAAGACACATGAAAGAATTGTCATTAAATAATTACTTTTGTGTTTATCTGCAGCAAATTTAGATCACGAAGTCACCAGATTTTCAATATTTTAAAGCACATAAAACTTTTGATAAATTTTCCAGTTGTTCATAATCTAGGATGTTAGGTTTTCTGAAATGATTTTTACTATCTCTTTTGTTTTTAATTTTACAAAGATATCTCTGTTCTGCTATCACTTTATTATCTGACATTTGTTATCTCACTATTTGATTACTGTTGTATTTAAGTCATTCAAAACTGTACTAGAGGTATGCATCCTATAGTGTCATAATAATCAGAAGAAAAAGTAGTTAGTATGGTTATTTTGTATGAACATTTTCATCATGCCCACGGGCAAATAGTTATTGAACCGTCCATCCGTCTGTCAGTCTGTCCGTCAAGAAAGATAACTTTGTTCTGCTATCACTTTATATTTGACATTTGTTATCTCCCTTTTATGACAAGATATTTGCACAAGGCAATTTGTTGGTTTTTTTTTCTTCACAAATAAATTCAGCTGTGTCTTTATTAGTTTAATATGTTTTGAATTATAGCTGAAATTCAGATTACCAAATATATGATTACTGTTGTATTTACGTCTTTCAAAATTGTACTAGATTTATGCTTCATGTATGTTAATCAAATAGTTTCACAATAATCATATGAACAAGTAGTAAGTTAGTTACATTTTTTATCATGCCTCCGGGCATATAGTAATTAAACCGTCCATCCGTTTATGTTTGAGTGGATTTTAGGGTCACTGAATAATTGATTTTTGATATCAGCTAACCTAGATTTTTACAAAGTGACCTACTGTCTTATCCTTTGATTGACAGCTATAAATTTTGGACCTTGTGCACAGTTTTAGATGTTAAATTGAACATTTATATCAGCTGACGTAGATAATTTGACGAAATTATCTTTGATGTACAGCTATGACTTATTTGGACTATTTGCTCAGTTTCAGATGTAAAATTGATCATTGAACAATAATTTATGGAAAGGATTCATACTTGAACAAAACATCAAGTGTGACCAATTGAAATTAAAAAAGGTTTTTTTTTTTAAATTTTCTTATTAAGATATTTGTTTAAAGCTTTTGATTTAGAAATCTTAGCATAAGCCCCCGCCCATCAGTTGGTTTTTTGTTAGCTCACCTGGGGACAATGTCCTCAAGGTGACTTTTGTGATGTCCCATTGTCTGTCGTCCATCGTCGTGCGTGCGTCCGTGTATCATGAATTTCTTAAAACAACTTTTCCTCCTAAACCACTTTGCCAAATTTGTTGTAGGAATGTTCCTTGCATGAAGCTCTCCCAATGTTGTTCAAAAAATTAGATTCCATAAAGAACTCTGGTTGCCATGGCAACCAAAATATTATTTTACAAAAAAAATCTTTAAAAACCTCTTTTAGAAAACCGAAAAAGTAAGAGCTTAGATATTTGGCATGAATCATCTTAAAGTGGATGTCTACCAAGTTTGTTAAAACAAAATTCCTAGGGTCAAAATTGACCCCACCCCAGAGGGTCATTAACTTTTTTTATATGTATTTATTACAAACTTAAAAAAAATCTTATGACAATCCAAAAGCATTATAGATTAGATATTTGGCATGAAACATTATCTAGTAGATTTCTACTAAGTTTGTTCAAATAAATGTCATAGGGTCAAAATTGGCCCCGCGCCAGGGGTCATTGATTTTCCTTATATGTATGAACTAAGAACTATAAAAGATCTTCTTGTGAAAATGAAAAAGAGCTACAGCTTATATATTTGGCACGAAACATCTTCTAGTAATGTCTACCAAGTTTGTTCAAATAAAAGCCCTAGGGTCAAAATTGGCCCCACCCCAGGGGATCATTGATTTTCCTTATAAACATCTATATAGTAAAAACTTTAAAAAAATCTTCTTGTGAAAATCCAAAGGAGCTAGAGCTTAAATATTTGGTATGAAGCAAACTCTATTCAAATAAAAGCCCTAAGGTAAGAATTGGCCCCACGCCAGGGGTCATTGATTTTCTCATTTTATGTATATAGTAAAAACTTTAATCCAAAAGAGATAGAGCTTAGATATTTGGCGTGAAACATGTTATAGTGTGTGTCTACCATGTTTCTTGAAATAAAACCCCTAGGGTTAAAATTTGTCCCACCACATGGGATCTTGTTCGACAGTTCAATCCCCAGCCAGGTCAAGTGTTTGTTCCTTTCTTTTTCCGTCATATTTTTATTAGCTCACCTCTAACTGTGACAGGCTGAACTGTTTAATAAAATGGCTGCCAGAGCTAAAATTAAAAAGCAACAGCTAAACAACATCTCAACCACTCGGGTTTAATTTTAATAATTTTACACAAAAAATTTCTTGGTGACTGTGTACAAAACTTTTTCAGGTTAGGCTGTTTCGTTTTTTAAAATTGTGCTTATGGGGTGAAAAGGGACTCCACTTCGACCGATTGACCTATTTTTCAGTTGAGCGATCGAGATCCCTCTGGGACCTCTTGCTTTATTTGGGTGGGGGAGAGGGTTTATACCGCACCAACACTGTATAGGTCATATGGTGACTTTTCCACTCCAGGGGTCACTGGTTTTTCTTGCATGTTCATATTCAAAGTAATCGTCTCTGAATCCACTAAGACTATAGCTTAGATAGATGGAACATTGTCTAGTGGACCACTACCGAGTTTGTCCTGTCCTGGATGCGCATGTGTTCTCTTCTTGTGTAAATAGAACATACTAAAAAGTTAAGATATATTTGGCATAAAACATTGTATAGTAGAAATAATCAATAAGTGCATTCCATAGCAACCATAATTGTACGTAGCAACCACTGACTTTCTGAAGGTACAAGTTGCTTTTGATTGCAACCAGTTAACTTCAATGCAACCATTGACTTCGATAGCAACCATTTATTTTTATCAAAATACCAGTGATATCGATAGCAACCATTGTCTTTTCTTCTTCTCCAAACTTATACAGTATTCATATTAACCATTGGTTTTTCTTTTTAACCACTGACTTCAATTTCATTTGACTTTCAATAGCAACCATTGACTTTCTGTAGCAACAATTAACTTTTTTTTCTATTTACAGAACTATTTTAGAATGATATCAGTTGACTGACTACATAGTCATCAAATAGATTGTTGTTCTTGTCATTATGACTCTCTTGTTTGGACTTTCTTTTTGTAAATATTTACTTTTTTCAAATTACATCAAAAATCTACAACATTTTTATTTAATTGGAATTTATTTGAAAGAGAAGATAACTCTGATAGACTTCCGTATAGCTTATTCCTCAAAAGATTTCATTGCTTGACACATTTTTTTTTCAATCAAGAGGGGTTAGTTTGCCAAACACTGCCGAAATATGCCCCCTTTCTACTTTGATTTGAATATATTGAATAAATTAAATTAATTTGGATTTTGTTTTCATATCTCAAGTGAATTGAATCATAGAGATTATCTTTTGCGATCAGTCAATATTTGACTACAGTTCAAATTTAAACCAAACCTCGATTTTAACGCTCATGTACATCCAGTTAGCATGCTCAAAGCAAGATGTGTTTTTTTTCTTTTCTAATCAGGTGAGACACGGCTGTTCCTCGAGTGGCATAGAACAACAAGAACCATAAAATACTTACTTTTTGCCCTTAGGCAACAATAAACATGTTTATTAATAAAGAAACATTTCTGGGTAGGTAGATATGTAGGTAGGTAGGTAGTTGTTTATGCATGTTTAAAACGTTATTTATGAACTACATAAATGAAAAGAATAAGGTTATTTTTGGAAGCCAATGTTCTCAAAAGCTGGTATAAAACATATTACTGTAAATACAAAATAATTTTGCCCAAAGTCTTGAAGTTTCAGAGGATATTTGTACCTGCAATTTTCATCGCCCGTCGCATCTGTAAACGTTTTTAATAGAAATTCATTAATTTGCCACGCACAACGGATCAAGCTGTATAAGCTTTAAATCTTGTATTTTTATATTAAAATTTTCATACACCTAAAGGTTACTAAAATAGCGCTCGTCCATTCATTTGTCTTGATGCGCACGCCCGTGTTTTCGTGTTCGCCAAATCGATGTCTGCTCAATAATTTGATACCTACCTATAAGGTGGTGTCTTCATACTTTTAAGACTATGGTCGTACCCCTGCTGATTTTTAATTCAAAATCACTTGTGTAAAATCTTTATCGATTTTGGCAAGGAATAAGCTTCTGGTTTTTTTAAACTTGGCAGGTACATAACCAATGATCAGAAGATGACCGATATTGATTGAGGTTACAAGGTCTAAGTCAC